GGGAGCCGCTCGGTATGACACAAAGAAAAGACTCCCTGCCCCCAGCTAGGTGCTTTTACTAGCAGGGAACACGAGGGGCAGGGAATCCATCATTCCCAGCCGCGGGGCCTAGGACGTGGAAGGCTAATGAGTGCCCAGATAACATCGCTGAGGAGCGATTATCCTCCCCCGGGGCTGCTCATTAGGCTCATTGCCGGGTGCCCCCCCCCCCCAGTTAATCAGGCGAGCCGGTATCACTCATCCCCCCTGCCCTCATCCACACCCTTACCATAGCCCATTCCAAGCCCTCTGGCCGCCCACTCCTCCGGCTGCTGCTCCTCGTCCGCCCCGTCCATGCCGGCTCCGTGGCGGGCCCGCTCCGACCCAGCCCGGTTAATGCCCCCGCCCGGCCGCCCGTCCTGCCCGGCCCCGGCCGCCTCATCAGGGCCACCTGGGCACAGCGGGGGAGACCGCCCCACCCCTCCTCCCTCCACGGGAAGCACGCTGGGCCCCTGTTCTCCACACGGAGGGAACGGGAGTGTTCCAGCCTTGGTAGGATATCGGGAAGAATGCTCTCCGTGAGGAGCTGGCTGAAATATCGCCGTGTGCACTTTGATGTTGCAAAACTCGCCACCCGTGGGTGGAGGGGACTTCGTTGTCAGGACTGCTAGACCTAGTTCTGCGTTCCTCAGTACGAGGACAATGAGCTACTGGACAGGGTCCAGCGAAAGGAAACCAAGATGATGCGGGGTCTGGAATGTTACAATGAGAGAGACTGCAGGGGCAGGGTCTGTTCTGGCTGCGGAAGACTGGGAAGGGATCTTGTAATCCATATAAATAATCTTTAATAGGTGGCATGAGGATGGTGCCAGACTCTTTTCAGTTGTGGCCAGCGACAGGACAAGGAGCAATAGTGTATTTTATGATTGGCTTTTCGCAAATATTAAAATGAATATTATATGTGTTGTGTTAGAAAGTAAGGCTGTATTAATTCTCCTAAGTACTGTGTTAAATATAGTCTTAGGTTATAAAAATTGTTAAAATAGAAACTGTGCTATGTAAGACGCTTTATTTAACAGAAAGGGCTTGCAGCGAGATAGCAGCCACAGGACACCTAAATCTTTCAGAGAAAGGGAATTTATTGCCTTCTTATCAGAAGAAACTAACTTCTTCCCGCCTTGGAGGCGCTGTTAGGATTAGAAGGAAGAAGTTGACAATGACCAAACGGAATCCTGTGTTTGAATGGAATTTATGCGTCATGTATGAAGTGTATGAATATGCAACGGGCTATTGTTCTTAAGGGTTAATCCTTTGTAAGCAGGGGTCCTTTTTCGGGCTCGTGATGCCCAGAAAAAGGTACCCGGACCTCCGTAACTCTTTGTTTTTATTGTCTCATATTGCCTTAATTCAATTTGTCCAAATTGTTATTACTCTAATTGTGTTACTATTTTTTTTAACCATTTTATTACTATTAAAATTTTAAAAATTTTAAAAACAAATGATTGGCGTTTTTCATAAATAGCCATGAACTAAACCACAAAAAGTTTAATCTCAACATGAGGAAGACCTTTTATTCCGTAGAGAATGGCAGAGCACTGGAGCAGCTGCCTAAGGAGGGAATGGAGTCTCCCTCTCTGGGGACATTCCTAACTCATCTGGACGCATTCCTGTGTCACCCGCTCTGGATGATTCTGACTAGACCACCTCTAGAGATGCTTCCCAGCCCTAAGAATTCTGTGATTGTGTTCTTTTCCGGTGGCCTGGCAGGAACACATTTTTTTTAGGTGTCCAGCAGCTTCTAGTTCTTCAGCAGCTGGGGGCTGCAAGGAACAAATGGCACTTCCTGACTTTTGAGTGCTATAATTTGTGTCCTTTCAATGCTTAACAATTCTTACTAAAAAGAAGGCTCCTAAGAGACCAGCACCAGGCAGTGCTTGCATGAAGAATGAGACATACGTCCTGATGCACCAAAACACAACATCCTTCATCCTCCTCCTGTTTATTGGCTCATCATCGTGTTGCTGGCACAGCACTGTTCTCCTCCTGACTCAAAATTCCTATCTTCATTTCAAGGTTTACTTTTGGCTTCTAAAGCCTTGCTTCTGCACATGCTTTCACCTGAATCGTTTCATCAGGTTGAACGAGTGTAAGCTGAAAGATCTGTGCCAACATTTTGGAGCCAGTATAATTGGTTTAACAGTGCACCTGGTTCAGCCATCAGCTACAAGAAGTTGGGACTAAAATGGCATTTAATTTGTTAACAGGATTCAGCTGACAAGACACATCTTGGAGGGTCATGGGACCTCTTCAATATTAGAAAACAATGCAAATACAAAAAAACACTATCTGCTTTAAAAGTTGTTTCTGAGCAAGGTTGTTTATTTACTGAACTCTGGTCCTAATATCACCTTTTTTGTGAAAATAATTACTTAGGAAAATGCTTTCATTTATTTTCCTTAAGGAAGGACCATCACAGATCTCCAGCACTAGAAGTTTTGGGGGTTTTTTTGAGTCATACATATATGTGTAGATATGTATGTATATATATATATATATATACACACACCACATATATTAAACTACTTTATATGTATTTTAAACTGCTTTTTATGGAAAATGTCAGCAGTCATAAAATTTGGTTTTCAGACATACACCCTGACTACTCAGCTTCTCAACAAAACTTTTTAAATGCAGCTCATACTTGTACTTCATTGCTGTCCTTTTCACAAAAAGAAAATAGTGTAACTGCCCTCTGAGTGTCGTCTTTAATTATTTCTTTTTTTCAGAAATCCTGAATTTGTTTTGTCCAGATACACTTTGTGTCAGTCTCCACAGGTTCCTGGGGAAGATACAGTGCCACCCCTCACAGAATCTTTGTGAGTAGCAGGAAAGTGTTGGGATTTGCATGACATACCCTATGCTTCTGTTTAATACTGATTTTCTGGTAAATCAGGTAATCCATATTAGATAATGTGGGGAGAAATTTTGGCACAATTAAGACTGTCATAGGATACAGTAAGCATTCCATTAACTTGATTCCTGTATTGTGAATGTGCAGTTGGGAGGGATATTGTACTAGTTTGATTAAGTTTGTACAAATTAAAGAGATGTCAATCAGTTTCAGTGTAGATTTGTTTATGGATTTTGGTGGCAGGATGGTGCTGGGGCTAAAAGTTTAACTAAATAGTGAGAAGTTGAGGCCTGTCTGAAATGTAAGAAATCAAAGTAACCCAGGGTATAAGCACTTGTTCTTAGAAGCGAAAGCTGACCTTTAAATGCTCCTCAACATATAAAGGCCTGACATCAGGAAATAAAGGCTGTGACAGGGACAAGTTAACCTTTGATCCAACTAGTTAAAAAGAGTACAGAAGTGCTGTCAATTATGACAACAGTACCCTTGAAGTTTCCTATGTCAAGTGGAATTTTAACAACATATGGACTTAAGCATAGAAACCACTTTGGGAGGCTCTAATGAACAATCTGCCTGCTTGCTTTCCAGAGCAGAGTTTGAAAGAGTAAAGAACCTGAGGTGTTGAACAAGATGACTTCTAATTTAGAATGGGAATATATATGGCTGGCTCCTCCTGGATGAAGCTGAAGTGGATGTGGAATGCCTCGACTGCCTGTGTGAGGCGACCTTACACAGCTGAAGTGATCCCATGGCAGCATTTTATGTCCCACCTGAGACACTGACAATCCTGGGGACTTGGAACTGCATAAATTCATGACAGCTTGGGACAAGCAGGCATTTGGGATATCTGAATATTCTGGGTCTTGTGGAGGATTATAACCCTTCTTGTGTGAGTCTGAGGTAGAGCTCTGCTTTGGCTCTTAGCTTGGGAACAGCTACAGTCCTTCTGGGGGAAATGTGTTAGCAGATTGTTGTCTGACCATAGACTAAAAGTTGAATAACTGGGTCCTGTCCTTCTGCTCTAGTGGGCTGAACTCCCATTTTCTTAGTTCATCCCTTCAGCTTACCTTCAGTTATGGATGACTAACACCACTGTGGAAGAGCTGCAGCATCAGCTCTCTAGGGCTGGGGATAACACTGAAGAACCTTAAGGCTGGATAAACCCAGCTTTCATCACTGCCTCTGCTAAAGAGAACTGTTTGTACTTAACAGTCACTTAGAAAGGAAAATTATAGCAAAAAAATACTGCATGTATATTCAGTAAATTGAATTACTTACATTTGAGAGGAAAACCTAAATAACAAGGCACGCAGAAGCTTTTTAACTGGAGAAGTGCATGAGTTTATTAGGACTAAAAGCAAGTTTTCTTTTAATCCTGCAAAAATTATTGATATAAATAGGCCATAATAAGCTATTCTAGATACAATGTAAATGGGATTTAAAGGCAGAATGTTACAGAGACAGAAAGCTGGAGATACAAAGGTAACTAATTCTTCAAATATATTAAACGCAAGAGGCTACACATGGCTTTCTTTGGTGTACTGATTCTTAAACTTGATCTTGCATTGACTGAACTGAACACTTTAACACAAAAACAGTATTTTACACTTGAAGGCATATCCTCAAACAGACAGGTTCTGCACAAATGCATGTAAACTGGACTTAAAACCAGAGTCCTTAAAAAGAACAAAGACCCTGGTGCACATTTTGCCTTTATCTACAGTGGCTAAATATCTCAGTGTTCTCCATAAGTGTGCAAAATGGTGCATGCAATACCACATCAGCAATCAGAGTAAGAGCAGCAGTAAAGTGCCACTTCATTGCATGTGCCTAGTCCTGGTTATTTTGTACAGGGCATTTACCAACACAAAATATAAATCTTTGTCAAAAGTCACTGATCTTCCAAGGGGAGACCGAGTAAAGAAAAAGGTCAGTTCAAATGGCTTGGTGGGATGCTTGTTCAGAAGAGAGGTGACCTTTTGGAAGCAGATTTCTCAGCATGATACTTCTTATGTGGGGGAAATCATCATTGTGGCTTCTGAAAACTGCTTAATTCCAATGGATTTTGTAATGCTGTCAAGGACTCTTTACAGCATTTGGGTACAATGCTGTTATTTGCCTATCTAAACCCTTGTAGACTTGCACGATCTAAAACATAAATTGCCCTAAATGGAAATTACACTATGGAGATCAACACCATGCAGGTATCCAGAGGATATTCAAATGGAATATTCTCTTCAGCTCTGTTGTGCTTTGCACTTAGCACCTTCCTTCTCAGGAACTTGAAGCTCTCAGGCTGCTAATACTAGTGAATTTAGCCTCACAACATGGAGTGAGGTAGGTAAGTTTACCCCCATTTTGCAGATGGCAAAACTGAGGCAGAACTCTGAAGTGACTTTCATAAAGTCCCACAACTTGTCAGTGGCAAAACCTGGAAGATGTTTTCAGAAGTCCAGACCCCAGACCTCTGTCTGATTTAAGTCCCTCCCTGCTACCACAAAGCAAGCAATACATGCAACCTTTATCCCTCCTCTTGCTGCTGTAGTTCTGCTGACACAGAGGAAGTTTTTCGTGATTGAATTCCCACTTTCTTTGGCAAAAAGCACCTGGTCCTGTCAAAGTGCTTTGTATTATGCTCTTCGCAAAGGCATTTCTTCTGAGGCACGATAGAAAAGCCATGGTTTCCCCATGGAAGGGAGACTGTACAGGTCCAAACAGAGCCTTATTTCTTGCAGAAGACCTGCTGCTTGGCATTCTTTACCCGTTGCTCCTCCTTCAGGTTCTTCTGCCGCACGTGTTTGCTGGAGATGTTTTCCACGTGTTCTGAGGGGAACCAGCCTCTCTCCCGATCTGAGAGTTTTACTCCTTCTATCCACCCTGTGGTGTGGGGAAAAGCACAACATGAGGCAAAAGTCACATGTTTTTTTCATTGTTTCCCATAAAAAAGCCCCCTCCAAAAAGACCCTAAGAGCAAAGGAGAAGATTCTCTTTCAGCTTCCAAATAAAGCATACTGAAGAAGATGAAGAATCCCTCTGCCCTCTCAGTCCTACAGTTTAAGACAGGCACTGCTCATTCTGCTCACCGTCATTGCTGTACTGCATAACCATGATGATATCTGCCTTCTCCAAAGCTAGCTCATCATTTTCCCGAGCCTTGTAAGTCTTTATGCACTGAACTTGTGGTGCATCTGAAGGGGAGGAAAGATCACATTGATATCTCAGAAAGCAACAGTAAACCTGTGGGCATCAGCTCCGGAGGAGGTGGAGAATAAGGAGCTGCCCAAATAAAAAGCCGAGAACTGGAAGGGACGTTGCAGGTCTTCATCTAAAATGACACATTAAAACATGTACAATAACTGGCAGCACCCAGCACTGAGGGAAAGCCCATGAGTATGCTCTTTACTACAAAACCCCAAGTATTCTGCTTTGGAATCCTTCTGGGGTATCCCACCTAACAGTGCCTGTGACTCCTGCGAGCCAGCCCACCCCCCTTGCTGTAGCAGCAGAGCAGTCTCACCAGGGCATTCCAGGAGGTCCAGTTCTCCCCGCGGCGGTGCCAGAGCAGAGATCCACCTCAGCTTCTCACTGCTGGAAAACAGCACAGAATAGGTATCAGCATTCAGTGTGAGGGATGACAATCTGGTGACTGAAATGGGGTGAGGTGGAGGGGTGTTTGCTCACACAAAGAGAAGCTGAGAAAGGAGGTGGGAAAAGGCAAAAGTTCCCATTTTTGGAGGCTGATGGTATGACATAATGTGGTAGTCCTGTATGTGCAGCTATGATGAGAGAGGGGCAGGTGTTTCACAAGGAAATAATTATAGCAAGAGGATGCTTTTCAAGACTTCTGCTTAGCAGCTACATTTGGTATTTCAGCATTTGAATAGCTGAGGGACAATCATCAGGCTACCAGGAGGTGTCTGGCCATGGTAACAGGATATACCACAGCTAAACTTGAGCTCTTACTGTGTCTCTGTCCGGAACAAGAACTCCACTCTTTTCCCCTGGTTATTCTGAAGCAGAAAGAGACGGAACAGATTCTTGTTTGCCCCGTGGAGTTTCATCTCGCACTTCTCGCCGCGCACGTACGAGAAAGCAGCATGGTCAAACACAACGAAACGTCCACCCCTGCAGGTCAACAGGAGGAACAAAACAAGGTGAAAATTTTAAGACGATGAGGGTTACATAGTGAGTCACATAGTCTGCAGGAAAGCAAAAAGCTTTTAGTAAGTCTTCATCTGCTTCACACATCCGAAGCAGTGCTCTTGTTAGAAGTCTCAGAAGACCAAAGAAAAGAGAGAAGAGATTTAATGAAAAGGGTAGAAATACTAAGCTCTGTCCTGTCAGGTTTTTTTTGGTAGCTTACAGCTTAAAAACAAACCCACCACCCTCAAAACCCCAACACAACTAACCAACAACTCTCTTGACAAACCAGTGATTTGCACATTCACTAGTCCTCATACTGTGCTTTAGAAGAAATTATTTACCAAGTAAAACTAGAATAAATGGTTATTGTTCAAGTATTTCACATTGTAGAGATGCAAAAGCAGAATCAAAGTGTTGTGCTAGGGACCACAAGATATGTTTTTGTATTACAAGATGTAATTAAGCACTGGGACTATCAATTTCCACATACTTTCATGATACTTACATCAAGTCGGGGCAGGAGAGTGACTTGACAAAGACTGCCACTTGCTGGCAGGCAGAGGGAAAGGACTCTGTCACCAAAGCACAGACCCCGAAAGAGACAGGTATTTTAGAAGGGGCAGCAAGAATTGTGTTGAAGCACTCACTCCTTGGGCCGAGACAGGAGCAGACAGTCATTGAAAAGGTGCAGGTAGATGGGCCGGGTTGTGACTTTCCATTTTGGACTCAGGTTGTTGAAGTCCAGTGCTGTCAACTCACCACATTTCACAAGTCGCCTCGACTGTGAGATGAGTGGGAATATCTGCAAGACAAAAATAAATATATATGCACAAGAAGAAGGGTCCCTGTGAGTTTTGGATTTGCATTTTTGCCTTTCTCTTGAGGAACTGTGCTTTCAGTTCTCCAGCTGGAGAGGTGTAAGTCATGGCAGGCACCTTCATGAGAAGGCTGACATGAATGATTGGTCAAGTGAAGCACTGATGAAGAGGTGGCCTGCAGAGGATGCTCTGGTTCAACAGCTCTGTGTTCTCTCTGAGAGGAGAACAAAAAGTGGTTTTGTGGGGAAAGACAGAAAATACATTACTAGAGCAAGGCCCAGGGGATGGGTGAGCTCACCTTACACTCGAATTCAATCTTCTGGCTGAGGTAGATCAGCTCTTCAGTGCTCTTCATGCGCTGGACATTCTCATTGCAATCCTTGATGAGCTGCAGAGGAAAACAGATAAGCAGTGAGGTGGGAGCAGAACTGCATGGTGGGATCAGTACTACTCCCAGGAGCCCCTCGGGTGTCAGCATAAGTGACAATTCCTTAGGCATCCTCCTGCAAAAAAAGTATATATTACAATCAGAGAATACTCTCAGTTAGAAGGGGCACACAAGGATCATTGAGCCCAACTCCTGGCCCTGCACAAACACTCCAATAATCTCACCCTGTGCCTGAGTGCATTGTCCAAATGTTCTTGGAGCTCTGGCAGCCTTGGGGCTGTGACCATTCCCTGGGGACCCTGTTCAGTGCCCCATGACTCTGTGGGGGAGGAACCTTTGCCTGATATCCAACCTAACCCTCCCCTGACACAGTTCCAGCCATTCCCTTGGGTCCTGTCCTTGGTCACACACAGCAGAGATCAGGGCCTGCCTCTCCTCTTCCCCTTATGATGAAGCTGCAGAACTGCTGTGAGATCTGGTCTCAGTCTCCTCCAGCTGAACAGACATCATTCACTCCTTTTGTTTTCACCTCCAGGCCCTTCACCATCCTGGTGGCTCTCCTTTGGAAAGTCAAATCATCACTAGACAGAACAATCCACCTTATGAAGCTGTACAAATTTTAGATAACCATTTGTCCTAGAAAACTTTAAACCTTGACTCTATAATAAACAGGATAAGAGGAAGGGATGCAACAGAGTAATGCTGTGGGGTTTTTTAAAGCAAGATTTTCTTGCAAGGACAAGGGTGGGAGTTGATTAATTAGAGACAAAGGTAAGGCTGCAGAAAGGGTAGGCACTGTTACCTTTTCAAGTGCATCATAGGCCTGCGTTGCTTGCACTTCCTCCACAGACCCAGGCCGAGTTCTTTTCAGGATATTCTGTGTGAGAAAAGATGATTTTCACGATGCAAACAGGGAAAGGTGGACATTACCACCACTGAAGAGTATAATAAAAAGTAAAGCAGAAGTAGCTGATAACATGTGGAGACAAGAAAGCCAAAAAATTGAGATGCAGAATGTCACTGTTAAGTCATACTGACCAGTAATTCCTGTAAATATAAATTGTATTAATTATCACATAGAAGTTATGTGGCATAGGAAGCAACCACTAGCTAAACCACAAATGGATGTATGAACAGAATAGACTTGTCGTTTTCTCCTGGTAAAAAGAAGCTCAAATAATCAAAAAGAAGAAATTCATAGAAAGAACTCAAAATTAATTCTTTAGGGACTGGCTGGTTCCCTGTCTGGATGGCTCTTTATTAGTCAAAATTGCAGGCAAAGCATAGACACAGACTGCCTTCCAGAGGGCAGCCAAGGAACCCTTGCTTTGTTTTCCTAGCAGAAAGCCAGAAAGTTCAATGAAATGAAAATCAGCATTTTCTGAGAAGACTCCATTAATTCTTTCTTGGGGTACAATTAGTGTCACAACAAAGCCCTAAATGATTCACAAATAGCAATGCCTCACACAGTGCCACATCCATCATTTCCTGAACACCTCCAGGGATGAGGACTGCATCATGTCCTCAGGCAGCCCCCAACCCAACGCTTCCAAACTCATTCTGGGAAGCAATTCCTCCTGATGTCCAACCTGAACCTTCCCTAATACAGCTTGAGGCCTTTTCCTCTTACCCTGTCACCTGTTCCCTGGGAGCAGAGCCTAACCTCCTGCCAGCTACACCCTCCTGTCAGGGAGTTGTGCAGAGACACAAGGTCCCCCCTGAGCCTCCTTTTCTCCAGGCTGAACCCCTTTCCCAACTCCCTCAGCTGCTTCCAAACACAGCTTGAGGGAAACTTGAGGGAAGGCAGAGAATCACCACAGTTACCTGTAGGAGGAGTTTGAGTCGAGTGATGCGCTGGAAGGGGAGGATGAGGAAGGATTTAAGCGAGAGGCGCTGGCACACTGGATCACTTTCCAGTCTCTCCAGGACTTGCTGGAACCCTGCATTTCCATTTCTGTGGGAGCGGCAAAGAAAAAAAAGACATCCAGGCATCAGAGTAAATAAATAACCTTCCTAGTATCAGATTTCAGGGACTGCTGTAGTACTCCCAACAGTCAGGTTTTGTCCCTGGGGCAAGAAATGTCAAGAAACTTCACCACTCTGCTGCTGAAGAGCAACTATGGGTTTCTAACAGCTACAGGATGACAGTACAGCTGTTATTATCTCTATCCTCTTTTCACAGCTCTCTGGAGTAAAACCCAGAAGTAACATCTACATTTCAACTCCCTCTATCCCCCCCTTTTCATGGGGACAGTGGTAGTTTGCACTCTGGTTCTCAGTGATCAAGACTGAAAACCATAATCCAGGATGGTCATTTTTGCTCTCTTCAGTAGAGGGCAGACAGAGAACAGCCTGCAACAAGATCAGATATTACACATTATTTCTCCCTCCAATGATATGGGAGAGAAGCCTGCAGGAGCTCTGTCCTGCTGTCCCAAATGCCATTGAACTGAGGAAGGTTCTTCTGGGGGGTGTAGCAAGAGCACTGCTCAACAGCCTTTTCCTGCAGTATTGCCCATCATTTGAAAGAGCAGGAAGCTATTCATGGAAGGGGGAGAAGGGTGCAGCAAATGAGAAAAACTTACAGTAATCTCTGGAAGGTTTGCTCCTGATATGTCTGGTTTGTCACATATGGCAGATACACCCGGCGGAAGTCAGGGGCATGCTTCAGAGCCACGTCACACACACGGAAGGTGAACATGTCCTCTTCAAATTTTTCCTCCAAGTCAAAGAGGAAACTGCAGCACATGCATGTGGTGCCAAGAAATGAGAGGGAAATATCAGTGTCGTTTAGTCTTCTAAAACCCCGACAGCCCACACAAGCACAAAACGGCTCTTTAGGTCTAGGGAGAGTGTAATGTCTGGATAATGACAATATAGGCTTTGTATGAGCAAAGAAAAAGCAGAGGCAAAAGACCTCTATTCTTGAGAGGTCATGCTTCTACAGGCATAGTCAGGAAACAGCTGAAAACTAAGACCTCACCAGAACAATCTTGGGAATAGAAATGGAAAAGGTAGCAGCAAACCTTACCAGCTTAGTAATTTATGTAGTCAAGCCTTGCAGGAGGAAAAGCAAAACAGAATCCTACAACATACAGAATTCCTGGCATGTGGGGTCATGTCCACATTTCATGAATTACGCTCTATTGATTCACATTAGTTTCTGTCAGGTGATGGTTGTAACTTACTGCTTCTCCTTTTTTACCCCACTTTTCATCAGGGCTCATGCAGCTGCCCCTTTTGTCTTGTATTGGGCAGGAGCTGGTTTGGGTTGAAGTCTAGTTAGTCAAGTTTAATTGTAGTTGAAAGCAGTAGCACAAGGCTACATTACCATTTTGATCCCCTGCAGTGAGCTCTGTGCACAACTAAGCTGTAATATCTGGGATTTAACACCAGAATTCACACTGCCTTGTCACCTAAAAAGGTGAATATTCCTTTCCGGGCAGAGTTGGTGTGTCATCACTAGGTGCTGTATCTGCACTGAACAGTGCAGAAGAGGAGTGAGAAATGTTCCTGATGGAAGCACCATGTTAGACCTGGAAGCAAAGGGCCATGTCTCACCTGGCACTGACATCACGCACATCGGAGAGCCGGGAGAAGAGCCACTGGCGCTCCTGGTTGGTGAGCATCGCCTGGAGCTCTGCCGAGCGCTGGAAGTGATCCACTGCCACGTTCAAACTGCGCAGGTAGGAAGCCTCAGATATTATCAGCTCAAACTTGGCCTTGGGAGAGAAAACAAAGGAGCACAACATCAATACACTGTGCAAGTCTGTGAGGAATCTTACAGAGAGGAAACGAGGCAAAGCAGGAAAACCTCCCAGCACATCTTGCAAGGAGTGTGTAATTACAGAAGAGAGGCTTTAGAAAGGAAGGGCAAGCATGCACTTACAGACTTTCTTTAAGAAACACTTGTGTTATGACTTAAAAATAGCTACTTGCTCTCATTTTACTTTTTATTTCCCCTCAACACCACTTTCATAAGCTCCCATAAAGTCCAGCATCCGTACCACACACCTTTTCCCATACTGTTGTTTTCACCTCTTTCTCTGAGTCCTCCTGTCCACTTCTCAGATCCTCTCATTTTCTTTACCCAGTTTCTCTGTACCATTGTGCTGAATCCATACATCTCCCAGTCTCCTCTCAGCCCTGCAGCTCACACAGGTCAATTTGCTAAACTCACACAGGTCAATTTGCTAAACTCATATTCTACTACAGAAAACAGAATTTACTGTGGTTTTATTAGCATTTCTCACAAGCTTACATATGGGAGAATGCTGCAAGTCTTCTACTTTTACACATCCTTTTTCATTGAGCATACTCAAAACTCCTTATCATGTTCCCACTTTTCCCCATGTCTGTTTACTTGGAGTTATTTATACAGTGCAGAATCTGTCCTTCAGTGCTGCTTTTCTCTAAAATTCAGCACTTCAGCATTGCTCTGCTTCATACCCCATGCTGCTTCCAGGAATAGAAGTGACCTCTGCCTCAACTACCTGCATTCCCACGGCACAGATTTTGCTCTCTGCTTTAACCCTCCTTCCAGAGACTTTTTCTTGACTACAAGACCACCCTTTGCCACATCTGCCCCATACCTCTTGCAGCCTCTGCTCCTCACGGGACATGTTGAGCAGTATTCTGCTGCCCCGTACCATGGGGATGTCCTGCCAGAGGGATGCATTAGATGAGACTGACAGACGTTGCAAATATGAGTCCTGGGGAGACAGCACTTTCCTCCGTAGCCTCGGGGAACTTGGTAAACTTGACTCTATATCCTCTGGATAATCCACTCTCTTCTGACTTTGGATGGCCTTGTTCAGAGCCACATCACTGTACTCCTGATACAGTAATCTTGCTGTGGAGAGAAACACATACATTTATCTCTTCTGTAATAGCAACTCACCCTCTGCTTTCAACCTGGAGAAAACTCTGCCCCAGACTGGGACAGCCAAATTCAGGCAAAGCTCCTCAGCTGCCTGAGTGTACTGCAGGATTCCAGAGTGTACTGCCTTCCCTGCTCTCTATCACTACATCCTCACAACCACCACGTGGCAGAAGTCCCTCTTCTTTGTGCTCACTGCAAGGGTGAAAGATGCTGGCGGAGAGGGGACTGCCACAGCACCCCAGGCAGGAGGTACTTACAGGAGTTGATCAGTTTGGAGTGCCGACGCTTGAAGTTCTCTGTTGTGTCTGCAGACTTCTTCTCTCTGCCATGGAATAAAGATTTCAAAACACAGAGTGAACAAAGGGCACAGCACCAGAGAAGGCTTATCCAAACCTTAGAAACTGCTCTGTCACAACAGGGACCTCTTATTTTCCAACAAGCTCAAGCTCCACAAGCTTTACTTGACACAAAGGGAAAAGTCTGGCTTTATGGAAAGGCTGTCCTGAAGGCCCAGAAATACCTCTGTTGCAGTAGGGTTCTCTTCAAGAGAGCATAGACTAAAACACAGGCCCTATGGCATTTAATTAAAGGTTTCCACTCCTTATCATCATCTTTGGTAACTCAAAAACAACAGAGGCTTCTGTGCTTCACAGGGATTGGGGCAAATTCTAAGGATCTTTGAGAGACTCACCGCATTATAACTGTTTCTGAGATGACTGGTGGTTCCCTGTGTGCCTTGTGAGCTTCCTCCTCTGAAGGAACAGAAGAAACCTCTGCATAGAAGACAATTGGAAAGTAAACACATCAGTCAATTTTTAGACTTAATCTACAATCCAAATGACACACAGATACCACTTACCTATGCCCCACCTAAGTGGTAGTGTTGAATTGGAGTACAGGTGCCCTTGTGGCATTTATTTCTGGGTCAGAAACATTCTAGTGTTAATAATTCTTGACATTACTTACACTTTACGTCTGTTAGCCACATTTACTTTTCACACAAAGAAAAAGGCTGATATTTTAGGCAGCAACAGTAACTCTAAGAGCTTCCCTCTCCAGTTAGGCAAGTAAAGACATTGTCTGTGTGCCTTGTTTGGTGCTGTCCTAACACTTTCAGCTACTAGGGTCAGGCATCAGATCAGTGGAGCCAAAGTGTAAAAATGGAGAAGTCCTTTCGATTTGTGAGAGATTTAATCAAATAAGGTGTGAAGAAATTCTAAATCTCAAATAACTGGAAGCAGAAAAAGGAAGAAAATCCAAAGACTGAGCTGCAGTTATGGATAAGGGGAAAGACAGTACTATTGCCTTGAATATTTTAAAATTTGGAATCAAGAAATTACAGGTCAAACATACTAACAAATCTTGAGATTCAAGTTCTTCCAAACCTTTTACACCCTTCCATACCCCTCTCCTTTTCCCCTGTGCCAAAAATACAGCATGTTTCAGAGCTTCAAAAATAGACTAAAGCAAGAGCTAAAAAGAAGTAATTATTTAAAGTTCATGTAAGGTATAGTAAAGAACATATATACATCCTGATAGCAAGTACTGCTGAATGAGCTGTATTACAGAAGATGCATGTTTTCCACTTGTGACATCAGTGATTTGACTTCTGTGCAAGCTGAGACCTTGGGTTTGACAAACTTCCCTTCTTATCTGTAGTCTTAAATCTTGCGCTCACGAGAATATAATCTTTTTTAAAAGGTCAAGTGGGAACCTAAAAGTCCCAGTTGCAAAATAAGGGGAGGCAGCATATAAACAACTGATAAGAGATATGGGCTACTGAGGGTGTGTGCATGGCTCTTCTTTACTGCCTCAGGGATCCATGAAATAAGTTTATTGTAGCAGGAATTAGTGTGGCATGGGGAGACTGAGCCCCAGAGTGCATCCCTCAAGGATGCATCACTCAAGGGAACAAACAGGATACAGAGGACAGCCGAGAGGAAAGAGGGGACAGCTGGAAAGGGAAGCTTGGGGCAGGATAGGAGACGGCTGTAAGGCTGGAGCAAGGAATATCACTTGAAAGGCACAAGAGCCATGCTAAGGTCTCTACTCTCATGCCTCTCCATCATATTGTTTATTTAATTTAATCCTATGTCTTGATAACTGTTCTAAGTTGGAAGGGGGAAAGAAGGAAGGGAAATGGAAGAGATGACTCACGCTGCAAGATGTCTGGTGGTACTGACATCCTCTTCAGGCCCTGACGGTGCCAGTCCTTGGTTTTTACTCGGCTTTTTATTGGGCTTTCTTGATTGCCTGCTGGGTCCTGCATAGCTACCCCAATAGTTTTTTTGTCTGGCCAACTTGATGATTTTTCCAAGGTTGCATGTTTGGCCTTTTCTTCCTTTGGCTGGTGTTCTCCTTCTTCCAGCCTTTGCCTGACTCTCCTCCCACCTTCTGTTTTCTCTGTGACTGCCAGTGGAGCCTGGATGTTCTTTGTGTCCCCACCAAAGCTACCTGTGGGCTGCTGCCATCGCAGCTCCTTGTTCTGGCAGGTTGTTCTGGTGGTCAGCAGTGATGGAGGGCTGAGCCGGAGGAAGTGAATAGGATTGGTGAATGCAAGCATTGGAAGGAGCTGTGCAGACTCTCTGCTTTTGGAGTCTGGGGATGTTATCAGGCCTTCCAACAAGGGCCAAGAAGGGTGGTCAGGTGAGGATTTTCCACTCTCTATATCCATGTCGTGATCTGCTGTTTCAGGGCTGGTGTCAGAGCAGCCAACCAACATTTCGTTTCCAAGAGCCAAAAAACTTTTGGTCATCAAACTGACCCCTGAGTCATCAGAAGTCTCTGTATCATGGGGACCTGAGTCACCAAGATCCCACACTCCACTCACTGGAACAAGGTCATCTCTCTCTACTAGACTTTCTCCATCAGAAGCAGAGGCCACAGAGTTGGTATCAAATGCAGAGGAGGCAGTCCGGAGATGACAGCTTGGAGCAGGGTGAATGGCTCCCAGCTTACCATCATCCATCCCACAGCTGAGGGGGGGCCTGGAGTGCAGACCAGGAGCCAGCAGCTGGTGACCTTCAGGGACTGGAGGTGAAACAAGGTGATTTGCATGGAGTGCAGGGGCCTGAGCTTGACTGGGCCTTTGGACATGGGAAGGAGGATGAGGAAGCTGTTTGGCATCAGGCTCAGACCCCAGAGGTAGGCTTGAGTGGGACACAGGGGACAGAGGTTGTCCTTGCTGGTTCACAGCAAGGACCAAATCATCTTTGGAGGGCCAAGTTAGGGTGCTCAGGACACTGGAAATTCTGGATCCAGGCTCTTTTTGGTATAAACTGCAGTCAGGCTCATCAAATAAAGGCACTTGTGCTTTATGATCCACATCTGCTGCCATTTCTTTTCTTTGTATAATGGCACTTTTTTGGGGAGAGATTTGCTGAATTGTCTCTGGGTGGTTCAGGGGAGTGGAAGTCCTTCCTGGTGTTTGGGATACTTCCAGAGGTCCTGCAATACTAGCCACAGACCTCCTATCTCCAGGAAAGCCCCCTTGTAGAGGAAGGGAGCTAGTGTACATGACAGAGAAAGAAGATGGGCCACTAAGGTCCTCATGATAGCTTTCCTCAGAAGTAAGGAGTTCATGGGAAGTCTTGGCCTCCCTTGCACCTGTCCTTACAACAGCAGTTTCTGCTGGTGTTGGGTTCCACTCTTGTGCAGAAGCAGCTTGTTTGGGTGGTTTCCCTGCAGAGTCTGGCAGCTTGTTCAGGCTGGTGCCAGGACAGTGCTCAGAGGTCACAGAGGCTATTCTGCCACCATCCTGCTCTGGAACAGATGCTGACACTGCTGAGGTGATCTCTGAGGGGGAAGCTGGAATGAAGTCCCAAAGCTCAGCTTTTTCTGTTATAGGATGAAGATCTATGTGATCAGGTGGCTCCAAGTTACTGATACCAGATGAAGGGTGTGCTGGAACAAGAGCCTCTGGGTTCTCTGCGCTAAAAGGTGCCATCACCCCTCCACAGAGTGATGTATCTCTTTTATCAAATCTCTGGACAGCTTTTCCATGATCATCACTGTGCTGATTCTCCCTGCCCAGTCGTGTCTTATCATCCCAGTAAGCTTCTCCAATATCCTGACCACCGATGGAAAAGCGGCCAGAGTCCTCCAGATCTTCTGCTTGGTAAGAAACATGGCACATGTATGGAGTTTCCCCCCCTGGGTTCTGGTTTTTTGAGGACAGAGGGCTGACAGCAGGTGGCTGACATCCAGAACCTGCTTCTGTGACATGAGCTTTCAGCAGCATGTCCTCACCAGGATGCTGATCCACAGAGACCGGTTCCCCAGGAAGAAATACTGATACTGTTTGCTCAGACAAGGAAGCATACTCCAAACCACACACATCCACATTATGCCTGGGAACAGAAGGTATCTCTGACCCAAAAGCTGATGATAAAGCCTCTAGTTTCAGCTCTTCCCCCAGTCTGAGCTCTTCCCTTGGCAGTTGTTCCTGCTCATTTTGTTCCTTGTTTTTCTGATCTTTGAGTTCCAAAGGTTTGCCTTCTTCTAGCAAATTCTGCTCTTTGCACTCTTCCTCCTCCTCTTCTTGTTGAAGTCCAAACACTGCCTCCTCCCAAGTTGGCTCCTTATGCCGTGAAGCATTCACTTCCTCTGTCCTTTTAGAGGTACTCTTTCCTTGGAAAGCACTCTTTGCTGAAGGGGCAGGTCTGCCCTCCGTTTTTCTGTGATCATCTTCTAGATGAAGGCATTTGGAAGCAGATGAGTTCTTTTTAGGAACCATTCCCTGGTCTTTGACCATCATGGTATTCCCTGTTTCACCAGATGAGTTGTTTCCTTCTGCTTGTAGTGAACTCATTTGGCTGTCACATGTTAAGGTGGAAGTCAACTGATGGAAAGAGGAAGATTCTGTATTCTTTTCCAAACCCTGGGGTGCTCTTAAGCTTTCCTGAACATCTTCAGAAGTGTAAGGTTTAGCTGTGTCTTCTACTGCTCCCTCTGAGGTAGGCTGCTCATCAGGTGCTGGTGCCAGCTTTTTGGTGCTTTGCTCCTGCTCTGCACCAGCACCAACCTCCTGCAAAGAGTCCTTCAAGATGTTACCCAGAAAGGGTTCAGCCTTGTAATGTCCTTCTGAAACAGTTTTACACACCAAAAAGCACTTAGGTGTGTCCCTCTGAGAGGCAATGGCATCAGCCAAAGGGGATTTCGTTTCCTGGGCCTGAGGGTCTAAGCCATGCAAAGCCAGTTCTGCTTGGCACTGAGGAAACTCAGTGCTGAGCTTCACAGCCTGCAGGACTGGGCTGCCAGGGGCTGGCTCATCCGGGACTCTGCTGTGAGAGGAAGGGCGCTGGTTGCTTTCCAGGTCAACCAGTTCCAATTGCCTAAGTTTCAGAGAATAATCCAGTCCACCCTCCTCTAAAAGCATTTCTCCTTCCAGTTCTGAGAGTCCCTTTTGAGGCTCTGTATCCCTTTGGCCTTGTTCCAGTCCTGCTGGCACTTTCTGCATAGAGTCAGAAGGTCTGCCCAGCATCTCTGCTGCTTTCTCTGGAGCAGCAAGGCAGTCCTTGGGTGTGCTGAGCTCTGGTCCCTTTGCAGAGTTAGATGGGCTGGTGCTCATTTCAGCTGCTATATGAGTGGCATGATACTCTCCTGCCACGGCTGAAGAATCCCAGGCTTCCCCAGTGATGCTGCTGGCTCCTGGGGGAGTGGTACCTCTCTCACTGGTTTCTTCAGACTCCATTAGTGACACATCCTGCTGAAGAAAAATGATTTTTTCTGTTACTACTTCACAATGATACATGGATCTAATTCACTGCTTCTACTGCAGCTGATAAAAACCAAAACACACACCACATACCTAGTGGGTGATAAGAGCTTGGAAACAAACACAAAGACTGAGAATAGGCAAAAACCACATGTAAGCTTGAAGATGAGAGTAATACCAAAATAACCCCACTGGTGTCTTTTTAGTTTGACAGGCAAATGCAGAAAGTGACTTTGGTCAAAGAGCAGAGATGCCGAGCTCTATGCAATAGCCACAGGGCAACTTATGGAACATGGTGGCCATGGCTGGTTATCTCACACCCAAAAGGGGGTACCAGAAGGCATCCAGAGAACATGAAAATTTTCAAAAATCTCCATTGATTTTCATGGGGCAAGGTGGACAAATACTACTGGCCTCTTCTAGCCGAGTTTAAAAGTTCTCTCTGATTTTGCCTGTTCTTTGGAGCTGATGGCTCTCTTTGCAGATCTCTGTGTGGGTCTGAAATTCATTGCAAATGATCACAGAAATTAATTAACAAAACATAGGAACATACACATTAGATTAACAGGTAACTAGAACATGACACAAGGCACAAGATATTTGAAGGCTGTAAACCACATGGGTTTAGAGGAGTAGCTCTGGTGTGTGTGGACTAATCTATAGATTAGAGAGAAACTACGTCATCATTTAGTCTACTCTTTTAGGGAGGGGAAAAGGAAAAAAAAAAGCCATCTCAGGATTGCTGGACAGTTTCCCAAAGGATATAGTGGAATTTCCCATCCACTATTGCATTTGAAGTTCAGACATGACAAAGCACTAGGGAATGCAGATTTGGGGTATGTCTGTGAAAAGGACAGAAGAATATGATTCACCACTTTTACCTGTCTGTCTTCTACCATCACCCACAATCCCTACCTGGAAAAAACCTGAGAAAGAGACAAACTGTTGTGGCTGCCTCTCTTTTCTTCTACGGTGATTTATTTGTGCTAGAGTGGCTCTGTAGTCACAAGTACTAACCTCTGATCCCACACAGAAAGTAAAAGCAGTAACAGCATAATTACATGTGAACTAATTGTCCCAGTTAGCTCCATGGCCAGGGCACGCCTGTCCTGAAAGCTGGTTTAGCTTCTGTTTTCCCTTACATCTATTGAAACAAAACACCTGCTCTGAAGGCAAGGAGCGCATGCTCTGGAGTTAGAACTGAAGCATTTATACACCTTCATCATAGAATTGTATTGTCATCACAGAATGGATTGGGTTGGAAGTGGCATCAAAGATCACCCAGATCCAACTCCCAGCACAGGCACCTTCCACTATCGAAGGTCACTCAAAGCTCCTGTGCAAAACATGGCCTTGAACATTTCCAGGGATGGAGCAGCCACAGCTTCTCTGGCCAACCTGTACCAGAGCCTTCCACCCTCATATTAAAGGATTTCTTCCCAGTATCATATCTAAATCTCTCCTCTTTTGGTTTAAAACATAACCCCCTTGTCCTATGACTACCTGCCCATGTAAAAAGTAGCTGGAAGGTTGAAATGAGGTCTCCCTGGCGCCTTCCCTTCTCCAGGCTGAACAACCTCAATTGAAAAAAACATTAGGAAAACAATTGAGTTAGCTAATTGAGTTAACTCATCAGCTAACTACTTCCTGTGTGTTTTTTCTCATGTAATCTTTAATTTGTTTATAGTGAAAATACAGTCTTTCTTACAAAACCAGACCAAACCCAGGGTTTTTCAGCAATTTGGATTGTTCCTCCCAAGCACTGAGTAGTTGTAATAGCTGTAATTTTAACAACCTGTTTGTTTCAAAGAGGTATGTCCATTCAGGGAATTCCCACGGAGTTTCCAGCTGCTGTCAGCTGCTACTAACCTACCTGGATACTGCTAAACTGTCTTTTCAAAGGTTCCACATCAGATCCCTCTTGTACTACGCTGCTCTTGGCTCTCCTGGCTACCCCACCTGAGTCTACTCAGCTCCGGGCCTAGAAAAGTACTACTTCTCACACCTAATACAGACAGTCTTCGAAAACAGGCTCCCCAAGAGCAGAGAGACTATTTAGGGAGACATAAGCTGCTGGCTAAGAAAGGTTTACTCTTAGTAAGTATAGGATAAAGATCTGAATAGCAAAGTGCTCAAGCTCAAGCCCACACCTTGTCAGGGGAAGAACTCCTGCTCACTGTACTGTTTCATAGATGTACACAGCCCGGAATTTCCTCTTATTAAGCTCAAAACGCTAGTTTTCATCTCCATGGCTCTGTTGCAAGGGATTTTGACAGGCGAAAGGACGAGTTTAACGCCGCATTTGGAGCGGTTCCATGATGATACTGAGAGGCAGGGTAGAGGGAGGTGCACAGCACATCAACACTGGAAGCTGCCAAGTGAGATTTGTCTTATCATAGTACTGCCAGGTGTTTTGCACACCTCAGGGAGAGCAAGAGAGGAGCTTTGAGAAGTGAGGCAGGAGAAGGAGCAGGCAAACTTTCTGCAGACACACAAGGGGAGGACATGCATTTCACCAGGGAAACTGTTAAATTCCCGGTCAAAGGCTGAGTACACCATAGTAGAAGACACATGTTTGAAATAAAGATTTCATGGAGATGGAAGGGGAAATAATAAAACAAGACTGACAGCACCTGTAGTCTTCACATGCAGAGCAGCTATGTACAAGAGCCCAGTAAATACCAGAAGAGAGTGCCTGTGGAGCACAGTAGTCACGTTAAACTCCCAATGCAGGTCTGCTCCATCAGAGGAGGTCCCAGGAGACCCCCAGGAGCTCAGCTACCCAAAGCAAACTTTCAATTAGCATTTTCAGCAGGGGCAATAATGTGATAGAGCAACACACAGGACCTATCTAGCCGCTGCCACTAGGCAGGATATACAAACTGTCAAAAATAATTCACTGTTTCCCCTTTTGGGGCTTACCGATCTTTCACATCTCTAACTGGATCAGATGATCAGCTGGCCATCACTCCCTCATATGCTCTGTCTGTGAAACAAGGTAAACCAATGTTCCCTGTTGAGATAAAGACACTCAGGCTCTTCTCTAGAGAGGGCCTAGAAACATCAGACTTCAGCTCCCATGCACTCAGCTTTTAGGTGATTCTGGGAGCACAGAACCCCTCCAAGTGAGAGGGAGCAACTGGCCACATGCCAGCACAAAAACAGAAGGGCAGTGCTTGGTCCTGCTGCAGTCACAGGCACAAAATCTGAGAGGAGAAGGGTGAAGGAGGTGACCTTCAAGAGCAAGAAAAGGACAGCGGTGAAAGCATAAGGGCACAATCCATCCACAGCTTTCCCAGATTACAAAAGGCAATGTGAATGTCATACTTCCTTCCACTGTGGGTTAATTCACCTGGACAGAGATGACAAACACTTTTGGTTTTAAATAGAAAGTACCTCACCTTCCCTCCCCGCCTCCTCCAACAAACAAGAAAGGAGCAATAACAAGTACTATCAAGCACAGACAAGCCCTTTGGCTAGCCAGGAAGTAAGGCTACACACAAGTGGAGCCGCGAGATCTTCCTCCTCCAAAAGTGGGGAGAAATGGAGCTTTCTGCCCACCACCTTGTCCCTCCTCGCATGGTGCCGGGTGGCGTCCAGCCACCCTCGGCCCCACTCCCCATCCTGCCTCCCCTGCTGTGGGCCATGGAGTAGCCCACACACCCAGGCTGCTGCGAACACGCTCCCAGCAAAGAAAGTCCTGCCCTGTGACATGGGGATGGAGCTGCTCCGGCCCAGCTGAAGCCATGAGCTTCTGGCAGTGAGAGGAGAAAGGCATTCACGATAATGTTTGAGCGGCATGAGCGAGGACACCCTTTCTCTCATTGAAACAAAGGGTTTCCCAAGTAGTCCCTAGTTTGAGTTTATCCTTGCTAGTGCAGCCACAACGTGGTGTAGAAATGCCAAAGCTGGTTTTAAGGACTACAGCTCAGGCAGGAAAGAGTTTTGTGTTTGGCTCTAACACTCACCCAAAAAACAAGGCTGCCCTGAGCCTTTTCCTGCTATCTCAGCTTGGTTTAATCATCTTGGTCACACAGTTCGGGTACACTTCACAAGAAGCTGAAAGAGGGGAAATTTAGGTTAGATATTAGCAAGAAATTCTTTCCTGTCAAGGTGGTGAGGTTCTGGAACAGGTTGCCCAGAGAGATTGTGGCTGCCCCATCCCTGGCAGTGTTCCAGGGCAGGTTGGATGGGGCTCTGAGCAACCTGGGATAGTGGAAGGAGTCCCTGCCCACAGCAGATGGGTTTGGGACCAGGTGATCTTTAAGGTCACTTCCAACTCCTTATCATTCTATGATTTGAATCAGCTCAGAGACAGCCTTTTTCCTTACAAAATCCAGAGCACAGTGTGCAGGACAGCACCATCTCTCGCAGGAAGCCACACACTGGACTTCAGTTTGGTGAGACACCCAGGAAACTGAACACAAAGCCTGCCCTGCCACAAGCCTCAATTTTGGTATTTCCTCAGCTAGTCTTGCCATGCTTAGGCTGGCTTCCTCAGCTGCATGTCCATGTGAGAGATTCCCACTGCACATACTCCCCTGCAAGAAAACAGTCACCAATCTTCACACACCACCCCGGGCTGCTCTATCACTGTACAACCCATCAAGGGAGGTGAAGGAGGGGGGTCAAAACTCTTGAGCTCAGGAAGAGATAACACAGGATGCTAGAGATAAGAAGGAAGGAGGGGAAAACTGTAACATGGTGTCAGCTTTGAGGGTATGGAGAGTTGAAGGAGCTTGCTGAAGGAAAAGACTTAAAAGGAAAGTAATATGATCTAAAACAGCAAAATAATGTAGAGTCTACTGCTGTGCTACACAGTGCTGGTAATGTTCTGGGAACCAGGAGTTGCCTCAGGTGTCTTAGGCAGGGGAGAACAAAACACAGCTGCCAAAAGCACCTGATCTCCTGGAAAATGCATCTAAGCTGCTACTGAAGCCTGAGAAACACAGGTGAGACCTCCCAGTCACACCAGTGCAGGGAGTTTGCCT